AGCTCATAATATGAAAAAGAGATAAATTATATCTTGGCATTCCTCCAACCTACCGGAATAGTAATCCCATAAAAATGAGTCATCCTATATTTCATCTTCTTACTCTTAGTTATATCCTGCTGTAAAATTAAAATATATCTTTCCTCCCTTAGTGTTTACAAGTTACAAATATTTATAGATTTATATCTATAGACAGTGAAAAGGCTGTCTCTCAGCCAAGATGAATATACTTAGCTTTCCTTTCCTTTTAAAAGCAATGCCTTAATTTAAATAATTTGGGGGGGGGGGTTTATTTAAATTCTCTACTATTGTATTAAATCATATGATCCAAATCAAATAATTAAAATGTTGTTCAAGATATGAAACCAATCATGATGAAAAATATCAACCTTTTTTTTTTTTTTTTTGGTGGTGGTGCTGGGGATTAAACCCAGAGCCTTGTGCATGTAAGGCAAGTGCTCTATCAACTGAGTTATATCCCTAGCCCAACATCAACCTTTTTGATGACGTAATGCTTCTTTGTATGTGAAGTCCAAAACACTGGCTGTAGTTTTAGATTACTACACTAAAAATGTATATTTACTTTAATTGTTTGGATTTCTCAGGTTTCTCACATCAAGTGAAAATTTAGAGATGGTAAGTTACTCTGAAACAGTTGCGACTAACAAGTAGTATAAAACCAGATGTCTTTCAGCAACAGAAAATGATGCATTAATAAAAACAAAAACAAAAAAAAACCTATTCATTGACTAAAATAGCAATTCTAAAACTCATAAAAATGTTTCCTCAAATGTTTCCATCATTCTCCTTTTAGCATTATATTCATATTTTATATTTATTTTATCTACAGAGTAACAATTTAAATCTTCTACTTCTGAAAATTTTTTCAAAATCATGACAATGTGGTCCAGATATCAGGACTTCTGGTCAGTGAAAAGAATTATGGAGACTATCTCACACTAGACGGTACAAGGTTTCACATGTAAATTATTTGAGCAGCAGAGCCATTCAGTTAATGTACAGGTAAAATATAATAAGCACTACACTAAGGAAGAATCACACTCAAAACACATTTTCAGGGGCTGGGGTTGGGGCTCAGTGGTAGAGTGTTTGCCTAGCACGTGCAAGGCTCTGGGTTCGATCCGCAGCACCACGTAAAAATAAATAAGTAAAATAAAGGTATTGTGTCCGACTACAACTAAAAAAATATTTTTAAAAAATTTCACCATTTCATCCATCCTATGGGCAAGGTAATAGTTATCATTGGTGATGTTTAGCAGAAGGAAAAATTCCATTCTTTTGTTTACAAACTTGTGGTAACTTATAATAAGTGAACAGACTCCCCAAACTCCATAGTCTGATATTTAAGGCCTGTTTTAATCAGGTTCCAAACAACATATTTCCAGTCTTATCCCACACTACTCCAATTATCATATGTGAGCTAGGCAGAACTATATAGCCATTCTGAAACAATACAAGTGCTTTCTGGCCTCAGCTATTTTACATCCAAAACTCCTCTAAATCCCTCAATTCTACACACCCTTCAAAGTCTAACTCAAATGCAACATGCTCTCTGAAGCTACCCCCAGCCCCCCACTAGAACCTCTTCTGATGTTTAACACCATTTAGTCTGTCCTTTTGTACAGCCACAATCACATTCTCTTACCTATTTCACAGTGTAACTGTATGTACGTCATATTTCTTCTCTTGGACTATAAGCCCTTAAGAAGGCCTTTGATGCAGTCATATTTATACTGTTTCTATTCCTTTCTATTTTACACACACAAGAAAATAATAAATATTTACCAAGGACAAGTGTTCAAATACTTCATCAAAAATGCCATAATAATCAATATTCTCACTGGTACTCATTCTCTGAGAAAATATTTCCTCTACACCTCTTGTGTACAGGGGTAGTGATATGCAAAAAGGATCAGACAACAGATTCTGCCCTTTCAAGAAGTTTACAATCAAGGAGATAATCTAAGAAACCTATACACATAAATAATACTAAGAGAATACAGATAAAGTATAACAGGAACCAATAACAAGGAGAGATTATTTCTAAGTAAAAATAAATTTGAGGCAAATTTTAAAATTTGTGCTACGCCCTAAAAGACAGGTAATATTTGGATATGTAGATGAAGAGCAAAGAGTTTTAAGACAGGGGAATAAAGACCATTGAGTCAGGAAATCTCAGAAGGATACAGAAAACAATCAATAGTTCAATAATATAATATCTGTAAAAGATGGCAGGGACAGAGAAAAATTTTAAAGGCAGTTGGAGCTAAATGTGGTAAGACCCTGAAAGCGAAATAAGAAACTAGAACTTTAGTCATTGGATAAGAAACTATTTCAAAGTTCTTGAACAGGGCTACATAAATAGCCAGTGAGTCTAAAGTAGACTGGAGAGGAAAGAAATTACTGACAAGGAAATAAACAAAGAGGCCATTACTATAACACTAGAAAGGAATGAGGTACTAGGGATGGTAATAGATGAATGGAAGAGATATTTTAGAGATGACACTAAAAAGAACTTGACAAGTTCTGAATGTGAAATGCAATGAACAGTTTGCAAAAAGGTAAAAGATGTTTCTAGTGTAAGAGGTGGGTGGTGCCATAACCTTAAAAGAGGACACTAAACCAGCAGCAAGTTTGGATGGGAAAAAATGAGTCTTAGCCATGGTGAATTTTATCAGTAGAACTCAGGTGATAATATTACACAAAATATACAACTTCAAAAATGAAAGAAAACTCAAATTAATTACTCCTCACCAAAAGAATTCCAATCAATGGTTTAAACATAATTATAACCACGAAAATATAACACAGAGGTTAAATTAAGTGTATAACAAATTAAAATCTTAACACAATCTATGAGATTAATCTACAATAACTTCATATACCTAAGAACCATTTTTAAACATGCTGATTCATGGATAATAGTTGGAAGTCTTGAAGAACCTTATAGTTAAAATGATAGAGTAAAATGCTTCTGTCAAAATGGCACACGCATATTCTGTAGTCACGATCATTTAGAAGAGACAGTCAAGTTAGATGTCTAGGCCTAAGAACCAAGGGATATTCACCTGATCTCTTTATATTTTCATTCCTTTCCATAATAAACATGTCTCCTCAGTTAATAAAACTTAAATCTACCCTAGATTTATTCCTACCACATCACTTAAATTCTCAAAAGCCTAAAAAATAAATTATCACAAAGTCACTCATGAAGGGGGATGCAAAATAAAATCTCCAGTGATTAACTCATGAAGATTATAGCTATTCATTATTCATATCTTTTTATGAAAAAATAAACAGGGTTTGTGTCCCTGTCCAGGCACCAAAAAACAAAAACAAAAAAGAAAAGAAAATGCTGAGCAAGGTGGCACATACCTGTAATCCCAGCTACTGAGGCGGCTGAGGCAGAAGGATTGCAAATTCAAGGACAGTCTCTGCAACTTAATGAGACTGTCTTAAAATAAAATAAAATAAAATAAAGGACTAGGGGTATAGCTCAGTGGTGGAGAGCCCTTGGGCTCAATCTCTAGTAAGGAAGGAAAAAAAGGGAGGGAGAGAGGGAAAAAAGGGGGGGGACTCATCAAAATAAACTAAAATAATAATTAATATCTAACATACAATTTGATATTAGTAAATGACTTCTGTAAGTACACTGAATAAAAAAATCAAAATTTAAACATTTTCAGTCCCATCGGCAATGTATGAGTGTTCCTTTTCCCCCAGCTTTCATAATAGCTGCCATTCTGACAGGAGTAAGATGAAATCATAGAATAGTTCTGATTTGCATTTCTCTAATTGTTAGAGATGAGAACATTTTTTCATATATTTGTTGACTGATTGTATATCCTCCTCTGAAAAGTGTCTGTTCAGGTCCTTGGCCCATTTACTGACTGGGTTATTGGAACCACCATTTGACCCAGCTATCCCTCTCTTCTGTCTATACCCAAAGGACTTAAAAACAGCATACTACAGGGACACAGCCACATCAATGTTTATAGCAGCACAATTCACAATAGCTAAACTGGAACCAACCTAGATGCCCTTCAGTAGATGAATGGATTTGTAAATGTGGCATATAAACACACTTTTAACACAATGGAACATTACTCAGCATTAAAAGAGAATAAAATCATGGCATTTTCGGGTAAATGGATGGAGTTGAAGAAGATAATGCTAAGTGAAGTTAGCCAATCCCAAAAAAACAAATGCTGAATGTTTTCTCTGATATAAGGAAGCTGATTCATAGTTGGGTAGGGAGGGGGAGCATGGGAGGAGTAGATGAACTCTAGATAGGGCAGAGGGTGGGAGGGGATGGAAGGGGGAAAGGGGTTAGCAATGATGGTGGAATGTGATGGACATCATTATCCAAAGTACATGCAAGAAGACATGAATTGGTGTGAATATACTTTATATACAACCAGAGATATGAAAAATTGTGCTCTATATGTGTAATATGAATTGTAATACATTCTGCATTTTTAAATTTATTTAAAATTTTTTTTTTAATTTAAACATTTGAATTGTGGCTAATTTGCCTAATAAGCATATTTTACCTGTTAGGTCTATTTATTTATTATTAATGCTAATTACAACATTCTTTTTACCAGATGCAATATCCTTATTTCAGTTTAGGTCTTAACGTTAAAAAAAAATGAGAACTCAATCTTATTAATGTTTTTCTGATAATAAGCAATAATATGAAGAACAACCTGAACTGAAATGTACTTGTTTCACATACAACTACTCCATTAAAATTATACACTAATAATTTGTTAAAAATCACAATGAAATAATATATACCAATTTAATAAAGGTAATATTTTGATTAGAAGCTTATATGTAATTTTCATTCCTTCTTTGCTTATGTATAATTTCAAAATTTTCTATAGTTAATACTATTATAATTGTACCAAGAAGAAAAGATTTTCTTAAAAAAGGAAGAAAAGACATATTGATGCATTTTAAAGAAGCACACTTACCAGGTCTCTGTGAAGCACCCAATTTGCATGGAGATAATGGATACCATCAAGAATCTGGTAAAGTAATGATTTAACCATAGATCTTGGCAACTGCATGGGCTTTTTATTTGCTTTTGATGCACGGTGAAACTTAATAATATGCTAAAAATTAAAAAAAAAATACTATAATGATATATAGTCTTCACTAATATCTATGCCAATAAAACACGATTGAGGCTGTAATAAATGCTCTATATTTTAAAAATTACTTTTTAAAGGCAAAGGACACAAAGAAAATAACTTGAATAAGATCAAGCAAATAACAATCTATTTTGGGGGGTGAATGGGGGGTTATAATGACTAGATTTACTGAAACCATTAAGATTTTCATTAAAAAGGACCAAAAGGTTAAAAGATTGATATTTAAATGCCTGACTAAAAACAGTACTAGTCATATTCTCTGCAGACAGAATGAAATATTAAAAGTCCACCTCTTTTTTGGTACAGAATGAATTCTGGCACAAAATGAAGACGTATTCTTAGGAGTTAATATTAAATAGAAAATAATTAGAAAGGAGGGAGGAAAATAGGGAATTTAACTGCATTGAAATAAATACAACCAGGTCATGATTTTCAAATTTTTACAGCCATGTTATATTGCAGTTTACAAAAACATTGCAATGAAAGAGAAGAATTCTACATACCACCCCTCACCCCCACCTCCACTTCCATCCCCATCCAAAGCATGCCAAAATGGATACTAAGATCAGTTAAAACCCCTATTCAAACAATACTAGTGAAGTTGTCAACAGTGTTCCACTAATTTTAAAATGACCAATGGTATGTAAAATTCTTTATAAGCTGTTCAACAGAATTCACTTAATTTTAATAAATAATAAAAAATTTGGTTTTATACTAAAATCAAAGATTTTTAATACAGATATAATGGGAGCTGCATACATAATTTTATATTTTTTATTTATTTTTTAATGTGGTGCTGAGGATTGAACCCAGAACCTCACATGTGCTAGGCAAGCACTCTACCGATGAGCCATAACCCCATTCCCAACTTCATACTTTTAAAAATACAATTTATATCATTATCCATAAAAAGAATTATGAAAAAAATGAGGTTCTAGTCAGCACCTGCTGTAATAGAATGGCCTCTGGACGTTCCTTTAATACCTGTGAATCTGTTAAAGTTATTACTAAACAGATTTTTAATTTATATAGATGATAACACATACCATATTTAATCAAAATTTAATTATCCATAATTTGAATTCACTACCAAATTTGAAATTTTTTTCAGTAGTTATTTAGATAAAATGTTTAAATGCCATGATTCCTAATTTAAAACATTAGAAATTCTAATTTTTTGCTTTTTTCACTTATTGATTAAAAACTTCCTAAAAATCTACAAAACCTTGGGGCTGGGGTTGTGGCTCAGTGGTAGAGTGCTCGCCTAGCACATGCGAGGCTCTGGGTTCAATCCTCAGCACCACATATAGATAAATAAATAAATAAAATAAAGGTATTGTAACCAAGTACAACTAAAAAATTTTTAAAAATTTAAAAATTAAAAAAAAAAAAAATCTACAAAACCATACACACACTTCTGTATGGTGGACCCCAGTTTTAAATGGCAAAATGCTACAAGAGGTTGATCTTAACTTGGAAACTATTCACAAGTATATAACTGATTAAATCTGAACTAATGAACACATCAAAAAAGTAATTTTCACTATGCATATTAGCAAATTATCAATAATTATTTGCATGAAAATACAATCTTGTCACTCGGTAAAATTTCTAAATATTACAGTATTATCTTCTCAATAAATGTTGGTTTATTGCTCAGCTTCTTTAAAATCAACATTTAAAATTCACTACATTTATTTTGAACTCCTATTAACAGCAAGTTTTCCTTCCTGTGCATTAGCAGTTTGTTATTGCTTACATATATTATAAACAATCCTAAGTATACAGGAAGTTTAGACTTACCCACAAGTCATGTTCTGCATAATCAAACAGCAGCCACACTTTCCTGTCACTGTGAGAAAGGAACACCTTTTGCAATGCGATCACATTAGGGTGCTTCAATTCTCGCAACAGCTGAATGCAAGAGAAAGAGAGGGATCGCTATCTTGTTAGTGAGAAGGAGAAATTATGTATTTCTTATAAATTAAGAATGAAATATCTGAAAATTTCAGAAAACCTAGGTAATCAAAATTTTTTAAAAATATAGTGCACTAAGGGTTGGGGTGGTGGCTCAGTGGTAGAACACTCGCCTAACATGAATGAGGCACTGGGTTCAATCCTCAGCACCACATAAAAATAAAATAAAAATATTGTATCCACCTAAAAATACAAAATAATTTAAAATATATATATATATATATATATATATATTACACTAAATACCACTACTCAGAGATAAACTCTGTCAATTCCTTAGTGCATTCCTTGTGATCTTTTTTCTGTCTCTCTGTTTAAAATGGAATCACTTTAAATAGTAAAACATAAAATGGTGAATGAAAGTAATACTGGGTCACCAAAGAATTAATTATATTTTGGTACATATGTATCATTTCTTACTACAGAAACAGCTACTTGGGAGGCAGAAATCATGTATTTATACAGTTTGTATCCACACTAGCACAGTACTAGTGCTCAACACACATTAACAAAGGGAGAGAGAGCTAACAATCCCTATACTTACCCATGCCATAATGTGTGGCTGAGGATTTTTTTAAAAAGTAGTGGATATAAAGGAATGACTCTCATACCAATGAGTAAAAATTGGAGTTTTGATAAGTTACTATAGTTTGGATCCTAAATATGCCCCAAATGCCCATATGTTGAAGACTTATACCCCAGCTGACAGCACTATTGGGAGAGTGGAAGAACCTTTTAGGGGCCTAGTAGAAAGAAATTAAGTCATTGAGGGTATGCCATTGAAGGAGATAATGAAACCTGACATTTTAAAGAAAGAAAAGAAACAGGTAAAATTAAATTTTGCACTCTTCCTTGGCTTCCTGGCAGCCACAAGGTAGGCATCCTCTGCCATATGTTCCTGCTCTGATGTACTGGGCCACCTACCACAAGTCCAAACAACAGGACCAAGCAACCATGGACCCAAATCTCTGAAACTATAAGCCAAAATAAACCTTTTTCCTTATTAAGTGATTATGTCAGGTGTTTATCACAGTGACAGAAAGATAACTAACACAGAAAAGGTCCTATAACAACAGTAGAGGGGAAAAAAAGAGTAGGCGTTCACAAGTACAAGCTTCACAGCTATGCTCTAACAATACAGAGGGAAGATAGATCCGATCACCACGTGAAATTTTAGCATTTGACATATAACTGATAGTTGCTTGATAAAATATTTAGTAATAGTGACATTAACTGCTCAAGGTAAAAGCCTTATAAATGTGCCCTCCTCAGGCTGTTCTTAAACCAGAGTTTAGATTTAATAGGTAAATAACTATATTCAATTTGAGAAATATTTTTATGTCTTTTAAATGTAAAGCTCTGGGGAAGATAAAAGAGGGAAAAGGAAGAAAACTTCTATTCATTTTTTTCTTTTATGTTTATTGACTACTTTTTATTTATGAAATGATTATCTACAAATGTTTTTCTCGTTAAATTCTAATAACAACTCTACAATGCACAAAGAAGCTGAGGTACAGTATGATAAAAATAACTTGACCAAAGACAATAGTTTGAATGAGAAGGGATTTGGATTTAAATAGATCTGCCTGACTCTTAAAGTCCATGTTTTTTCCCCACTAGAGTAAAAGTTTTGTCTTCAATTCCCACAATGCAGTAGGAAAGACAGACATAAATAGATCAATGAGGCAAAGAAAAATAAATTGCTTACCCATTCAAATAATTTGAAATGAGTAAAATGTACTTTAAGTGCCTATACTGGAATCATGTAAAAAAAAATCTGAACTCTCTGAAATTTTTATAAACTTCCTAATATTTATTTCTTTACTACTTTCAGTGACAGATTTCCTATTACTTCAAATTTTCTCATTTTGGTTCTGTACTTCAGCTCATCTATACCTCAACAACCTTGCCTGAAAGTGCTCTGCCAGTTAGGCATGATTCCAGGATATAACTCCCCAGGTTCTGTATCCAACCCATATTCCCTGGAACACAACTAAGAGGTAAGAGCTCAGGTGGTCTGGGTTGACTCCAGCCCATCATCCACTTTTCACAATCTGCCTCAGGGTTCTATCCATATTTCCTATTGGGTCTAGGTGAGAAAGGAAGAACTGGAAGAGAAATGACCAGGGAAGATGTGAGTCCTACTACCTTGGGTAGGGAAATAGGGAAAGCAGGTGCTCAGATCTTAGCTTCTACTGCCTAAGACATGTTATGCAATCCTGCTTCTTATTTCAGATGAAAGTACTAGACATAATATGCTCCTAACTAGTTGCATTTTGGAAGGATACAGAGCTATATCCAGAAAGTTTGTTAGTTTTGAATGCTTTAAGCTCTCTGACTCTATCAAGTACCATTTAATGACCCCACTGTGGTGGCCAGCTTTGGAGGCTCTGGGTAAGAGGTCTCACCCCAGGCACAAGGCTTGTCTCTTTGTGACTTCTTAGTACTGATAAACTTTAAAGTGTTTGCCTTTATTAAATATATACCCAAAATGTGTTTTCTTTGAAGCCTGAAGTATAATGGCATGGTGAAACTCCACTTCTACTGAAACACCACACACTGGCACAGATCCTGAGTCCTGGCCCTCACTTGTCTGGTAGAGGTGATATCACATGTAGAAATCTTTAACCATGACTTCTAAAAGATTATGTTTCTCTGTTAACTATAAATTATTGGTCCACTCTATAATAAATCCATTTTAAGTCCCATGTTAAAAATTATTTTCAATAGATAATACATTTACGTCATTCAAAAAATCAAAAGCACATAAAAGGATACATACAGAGATGTCTCAATACCAATCCTTGCATTTCCTGAGGGTAAAAATTTTTACTAGTTGCTTGTTAATCCAATGTTTCTTTATGCAAATTAAAGCAAGTATGAATATATATTTTATCCTCCCTTAGTTACATAAAAGATACTATAATATGCACACTGTTCTGTACCTGTTTTTATAGATTTCTCTCAGTACCAATACAGTGTCAATATATAGAAATCTTTCTTGTTCATTTTTATAGCTGCATGATATTTCTTGGTCACCTTTTTCATTGTGGTAAAATATGTGTAACATAAAATTCACCATTTTAATCATTATTAAGTGAATGATGCAGTAGAATTAGAGTACATTTGCATTATCATGCATTCATCACCACTATCCATCTCCAGAACTTTTCTATCATTCCTAACTGAAATTATGTACCATTAAAAACCTTCCTGTTTCCCTCTTTCCCCAGACCAATGGTAGCCATATTCTATTTTGTGTCTCTATGTTTTTGACTATTCTAAGTACCTCATATAAGAGGAATCATATAGTATTTGCTCTTTTGTATCTAGCTTCTTTCCCTTCATATAATCTTTTCGAGATTCATTCACGTTATAGCACATATCAGAGTTTCATTCCACTTGAAGGCTGCATAATTGCATTCTACATACATACTACCTTTTGTTTATCCACCTATCCTTCAATGTACATTTAGGTCATTTTCACCTTTTGGCTATTATGAATAAGGCTGCTTTGAACACTGAAATACAAAATATATTTGAATTTTCACTTTCAATTCTTTTGTATATACACCCAGAAATGTGACTGCTAGACTTATTTAATTTTTTGAAGAACTGCCATATGTCACCTTTTAATATGACATACATGGAAGAAGAGTATTTTCTTATTCAGCAATACATCCTTTCCAAACCTTGCTATGCTTTTTCTTCTCTATAGACCTATATAAATCACTAAATATCAATGTGAAGGCAGATTAAGGCAAAGAAATAGCAAAGTTAATGTTATCTAGGTCTGTTTTGTTCCCTCTTCTAATTCATCTTTCAGAATGATGTTTCAAAAATACAAAACTAATCATCTCCATCACTAGAGATAGGTATAAGTAACAAAGCAGAAGATAGGGGAAAGACCAAATATGAGGGGCTTTGTAAGCCATGGAAAGTGTCACTACTATCACTGGGAACATGTTGGGTTAGTAGAGAAACCAGCTGTTATAAAAGGTACCACACCTTGACTACCTTCTGTATAAGTTTCATGGATAGACCACTGAACAAGCAAGTGTGAGGGCAATGGAGTTTCAGGTGACTCAGATTTAGATTCACTGAAACATATTACTATAATTTACACTATTTACCTGTTTACATCTGCCTTCCCTATAAGCCACAGATTCTTGAGCACAAAGATAATCTTTAATTTATCTCTGCACAATGGTTGACACACTGAAGGAGTTTTTTGTTTTTTGTTTTTAAGTGATCTTATTAAGTTCGGGGTTTTACTGGGATCCTAATTAGAATAAGATGTACTCCATGTATGTATAAATATGTCAACATATACTCTACTGTCATATATAACTGAAAAGAACAAATTAAAAAAAGTTTGGGGTTTTATTTTTTATTGTTTTATGTTTTTTTTTCTTTTTATTTATTTTTCATTTTATGTGGTGGTACAGAAAATCAAATAGTGCTTCACACATGCAAGGCAAGTGCTCTACCACTGAATTACAATTCCAAGTTTGGGATTTTAAATGTCACCAAATGCATTAGCTCCCAAATGTTTATTTCTAGCCCACATATCCTCTCTGGACTCCAGTTAAGTGTATCCATAACATCTCTACATGAATGTCTAAAGGCCAAAACAGAACTTGTGATCTCTACCTTCCTTACCCGCTATTCTACTTGCTCTTCCCTTTTACTAGCACCCCATCGTTCCGTTTCTTAAGTCAAAAACCTCATCTGTTTTATTTTCTATCACCTCTTCAATAAGAATTTCCTTGCCCTTCTATTTAAAACTGTAACCACTCTTCTGAACCTTTTCTTTTCAGCAAATACTACCCATAATCAAATATACTACAAGTTTATACCTCTTGTCTACAATCCCAAAGAGCTCAGAAAACCAAAGCTTTCTAGTAACTCACATAGGAAAAAGAATTCTACTTCAA